CTCTCTGCTCCTATGATGCTGCTTGGCCTGCTGTGTTCATCCAGCCCTGCACCTTGTTGTCTCGGATTCTCCAGCATCTGCAGTTCCTACTATCTCTGAGCCAAATTAAACTAATCCCTTTTCCCTGCCCTTGGTCCATATACCTACATTTGTTGCATATTCATGTGCTTATCTAAAAGTCTCTTAAACACCCCTAATGTGTCTGCTTCCACCACTAACCCTGGCAGTGTGTTCCACACTTCTACCACTCTCTGTGTAAAAAAACGTGTCCCTCACATCTCCTTTGAACTTTCCCCCTCTCACCTTAAATGCATGCCCTCTAATTTTAGACATTTCAACTCAGGGAAAAAGATTCTGGTCATCAACCCCATCAATAAATCTCACAATTTTATAGACTTCTATCAAGTCTCCCCTCAACCTCTGCCACTCAAGAGAAAACAACCCAAGTTTTTCTAGCCTCTCCTTATAGCTCATACCCTCTAATCCAGGCAGCATCCTGGTAAACCTCTTCTGCTCTCTCTCCAAAGCTTCCACATCCTTCCTGTAATGTGGCAGCCAGAACTGAATGCAATATTCTAAATGTGGCCTAAACAAAGTCTTACAAAGCTGCAACATGACATCCTGATTCTTGTACTCAATTCCCTGACAAATAAAGGCAAACATGCCATATGCCTTCTTTACCACCCTATCTACTTGCGTGGCCACTTTCAGGGAGCTATGGACTTGAACCCCAAGATCCCTCAGTACATCAATACTGTTCAGGGTCCTGCCATTAACTGTATACTTTTCCTTAATATTTGATCTCCCAAAGTGCAGCACCTCTTACTTGCCCAGATTTATCTCCATCTGCCATTTCTACACCCAGATCTGCAACTGATCTATATCCTGTGACAACTTCCTACACTATCCACAATTCCATCAATCTTTGTATCGCCTGCAAACTTACTGATCCATCCATCTACATTTTCATCCAAGTCATTTATATATATCACAAACAACAGAGATACCAGTATGGATCCCTGTGGAACACCACTAGTCATGGGCCTCCAGCCTGAAAAATACCCTTCCACCACTACCCTCTGCCTTCTATGTGCAAGCCAATTCTGAATCCAAGCAGCCAAGTCACCATGGATCCCATGCATCTTAATCTTCTGGATGAGCTGACCATGAGGGACCTTGTCGAAAGCCTTACAAAAATCCATGTAAACAACTTCTACTGGTCTACCCTCATCGATCACCTTCGTCACCTCCTTGAAAATTTCAATCAAGTTAGTGAGATATGACCTGCCCTGCACAAAGCCATGCTGATTGTCTCCAATTAGGCCATGCCTTTCCAAATGCATGTAAATCCTGTCTCTAAGAATTCTCATCAATAACTTCTCAACCACCGACGCGAGAGTCACTGGTCTGCAGTTTCCTGGATTATCTCTATTTTCCTTCTTGAACAGAGGAACAACATTAGCTACTCGCCAGTCCTCTGGGACCTCTCCAGTGGCTAGTGAGGATACAAAGATCGTGGTTGAGATGCTGCTCCTCCAGTTTGCGCTATGGTTTGCTGGAGCATTGCAGCATGCCGGGAACAGACAAGTAGGCACACAAGCAAGACGCTGTGTTAAAATGACTGGCTACAGGAAGGTCGGGGTCATGCTTGCACGCAGACCGGAGGTGTTCTACAAAACAGTCACCCAGTCTATGTTTGGTTTCTCCGATGTAGAGTAGGCCGTATTGGGTGCAGAGAATACAATGCACAAGAATGGAAGGGTACAGGTGAAATGCTGCTTCACCTATAAAGACTGTTTAGGCCCTTGGATAGTGAGGAGGTGAAGGAGCAGGCATTGCATCTTCTGTGGTTACATGGGAAGGTTGAGGGGTTGGTGTTAGTGGTCGGAGGGAACAATCCCTGCGAAATATAGCCGGGGGAGTGATGGAAGATATGTTTGGTGGTGATGTTCTGCTAGATTTGTCTGAAATGGTGGAGAATGATCCTTTGAATGTGGAGGCTGGTGGGATGAAAAGTGAGAACAAGGGGAACCTGATCACAATAGTGTGAGCGATGGGAAGGGGTGAGGATGGAAGCACAGGTGATAGGTCGAATGTGGTTGAGGGCCCGGTCAAGCACAGTGGGTGGGAAACCATGGTCATGTAAGAAGGAAGCCATTTCAGCAGCACTGTTTTTTACGTCTGAAAGTCCCTGAATTCAGCTCTGTCTCTGCCTGAAGATATTACTCACCATTTCAGTGTCATTCTCTGTCACCAGAGTCCCATTGGAATCATAGTGCGACACCTGGAATCCTCTAGGCAAGAGGAATCTGTGGGAAAAACCAGAATGAAAATGAACAGCAGAGGCACTTCACAGTGCTGTATCCATGGAGGATACACACTGTCTGACCCTGTCAACGAGATACCAGAAGAGATCCAACACAGCAATGTAAGGACAGGGCTACACGGAATTCGCATATCAAAAGCAAGCTATCAAGAGACACAATTATAATGCTGTCCAAGTACAATAATGGATCCTTCAATCATTCCCAGGACTTATTCAGCTCTATATATCTACCTTAAGCTATTTGACTAGGGGAGCCATCACAGATGCTGACTGACGCCCAGATTCCAACTCTTTCACTTCCCAACCAAAGCCTTTAAGCAAGCTAGGCCCAGCTCACTCTGACCAGCTGACCACATTTTTATCTTCATGAGTAACTGAAGTGATTGTAATGAGTCAGCCCGGTGGACCAAACAGAATATGAGTTCCCTGATTGGAGCTGTCCATCTGATCCAATCAGAGAGCCCAGGCTGACAGATATGAACAGGAGTTTCAGGGGTTCTGCTCACTCTAGGAGCTGGCACTGAGGAAGCTGGACCAGGATTTAAAATGTCATGTTGGTGAGGCCTCTCCTGGAATACTGTGTCCAGTTCTGTTTGCCTACCTATGGGAAGGATATTATCCAGCTGGAGAGGGTTCAGAAGAGACTTAACAGTATGTTGTCGGGCATAGAAGGTTTGCGTTATAAAGAAAGGCTGGACAGGCTGGGACGTTTCTCACTGGAGCGTAGGAGTTTGAGAGGCGACCTTATAGAAGTTTATAGAATAATGAGGGATATAGAGAAAGTTAATGGTAGTTGTCTTTTCCCTAGGATGTGGCTTCGAGACTAGGGGGGCACATTTTTAAGATGAGAGGAGAACGATTTAAACATGGGGAGCAATTTTTTTACACAAGGGGTGGTCCAGCTGTGGAATGAACTTCCTGAGGAAGTGGTGGATGTGGGTACAATTACAACATTAAAAAGACATTTGGATATGTACAAGAATAGGAAAGGTTTGGAGGGATATGGGCCAGGAGCAAGCAGCAGGGATTAGTTTAGTTTGGGATTATGTTCAGCATGGACTGGTTGGACCGAAGGGTCTGTTTCCATGCTGTATGCAGGTATAAATAAAGGGTGACTTGGTGATGGGATGCCAGCCTTTGTGGAGTTATTTCAGTGGCGATGAGAGAAAAAAGTATGCCCCTGGACAGATTTGTTCACAAAAGCCATCTTTGAATTGGGGTGTGTATTTGTGGCATTATGCCATTATTTGGGAAGCTGAACTTGTTCAATCTTACCTTCGAAGACTGGGTCCAATATGTGGGAAGAATGTGTTATTTTTTTCCAGGCAAATGACATTGGAGCATATGAGAAACGAGTAGTTCTCCTGACAGCCTGTGGACCTGAAGCTTTTCTAGTTATTAGGAACTTAACATTTCCTGAGGCACCAGATACTAAAACCTTTCAAGAGTTGAAGGAATATTGCAGCCCCAAGTCTCCTCTAATTCAGAGACATTATCGGTTTTACACAGCCATTTGAGGCAATGGCTTTGCGGTATTATCACTGGACTGTTAATCCAGAGACCCAGATAACGTTCTGGGGACGTGGGTTCGAATCTCACCACGGCAGATGGTGGAATTTGAATTCAATAAATATCTGGAATTAAGAATCTAATGATGACCATAAATCCATTGTTGATTGTTGCAAAAACCCATCTGTTTCACTCATGTCCTTTAGGGAAGAAAATCTGCCATCCTTACCTAGTCTGGCCTACATGTGACTCCAGACTCACAGCAATGAGGTTGACTCTGAACTGCCCTCTGGGCAATTAGGGATGGACAATAAATACTGCCTGGTCAGCAACGTCCTCATCCCATTAATGAATAAAGGGAAAAAAAATAGGGAAATCCATATCAGATTTCTGACAAGGTTAAGATGACTGGCAGAGGCATCTGACTTTGGTTTAACCTTTAATGAGATACTGAGAGACTGTTTGGTATGTGGAATTAATGATGTAACCATACAAAAGCTGAAGCCCAACTGGACTTCAAATAGACTCTACAACTGGCTTTGTCATTAGAAAATGCGGCAAGTGGAGCATATGAATTATAGGATATGCCAATGGAAATGGACATCCTTGCCAGTCCGACTGAGCTTGGGGAACACCACTTGAGTGAAGGCAATTGCATAGCCTCACTCAGGTCGTATCTTGAACAGAGGGACTCTAGGTCAGTCCACAACAAAGTCAAGCCTTGGGCAAACAGTTAACATTTTCTTCAGGATCCAGGCCAGCAGACGACTGTATTTACTGCTGGAATGCGGACTCAAGACAGCAAAAGAGTCCCACTGGATGTAAATTGAGTAAGAGAACTCATATCCAGGAGAGTGCACACATTGGAAAGTCCACCCACAGGTGGTTTGGAACGTTAAATTGCTTAGCAACATCCAAATCAGAACCAATCGTAATAAACATCTGGTTAAACAGTCACCTGGTTCTAATGAAGGTCCTTACTGGTATGGCCATCACAATGATTGCAGAGCCTGTTTTTAACAACATTTGTTCTGCACTCCAAACTTTAAATTTGCGTAAGACATTGGCTAGACTGATAATGTATATCAGGGAACCTTTACAGATTAAGGGTACAACTTTGGTTGGTCTCATATGAGTGGTAAAAGGCCTGGGTCCAATCCTGATGGATGAAATTGGTGGAGAAAGATTCATCTTGATTGGGTCAATATTTTTCAATTAGAAAATGACTGCCTGAGTGAAGTCCTAATTAAATACCCAGAGGTTTTTCAGGAAGGTCTAGAGACTATCGAAGAAGCCAAGGTCACCTTGCATGTTGACCTGGAGATAATTCTATGATTCTGTAAGGCCTGCCAAGTGCCTTTTATCTTGCAGGCAAAAGTAGAGGCAGAAATCAGGAGGCTAGAGAGTGAAGGAATCATCAAACCAGAATAGTTTGCTGAATGGGCAACACCAGTGCTACTGACTTTGAAGGCTAACGGGTCGATTCATCTTTGTGGGGATTTCAAGCAAATGGTCAGCTATTACTTGCAGCTGGATAAATACCAAATCCCTTGCATAGAGGGTTTATATACAAAGCTGGCAAGGGGTTGGGCTGTCCTTCATGAAGCTGGACATGAGCCATGTGTTCCTGCAATTGTGGTTAGATGAGGATTCCCAAAAGTATACTACAATTACTACCCATAAGGGTTTGTACCAATATACAAGACTGCCATTTGGGGTATTGTCAGTCTGTGTAACTTTCCAGTGGAGGATGGAGAACATTTTATTTGGGCTACCTGAAGCCATAAGTTTTTTTCTTTATTCATTCATGGGATGAGGGCATCACTGGAGAGGCTGTATTTATTGCCAATCCCTAATTGCCCAGAGGGCAGTTCAGAGTCAACCACATTGCTGTGAGTCTGAAATCACATATAGGTCAGACCAGGTAAGGACCGCAGTTTCCTTCCCTAAAGGACATTAGTGAACCAGATAGGTTTTTCCCAACAATTGGCAATGGATTCACAGTCATCATTAAACCCTTAATTCCAGATATTTATTGAATTCAAATTCCACCATCTGCCGTGGCAGGATTCAAACCAGGATCCCGGGTCTAGGCCCGAAATGTCAGCCTTCCTGCTCCGCTGATGCTGCTTGGCCTGCTGTGTTCATCCAGCTCTACACCTTGTTATCCCCAGAACACTATCTGGGTCTCTGGATTAACAGTCCAGTAATAATATCACTAGGCCATTGCCTTTATCTGGATGACAAGTTAATAATAAAGATAATCAATAAAGAGCATTTGGAGAACTGAGACATAGTGCTTAGACTTTTCTACAAGGTGGGCCATATGCCTTAGTAAGGGGAAAAAAACGTATATTCCAGCCACCCCAAGTGGCCTACTTGGGCTACAGAGTAGACAAGATTGGGTAACACCTGTTGGAAGATACATCTTCCTCACACACAGCCTTACATCTGCTATTCAAAAAGTGTCAGCCTTGGAGATGATCACGTCGCCAAAAAGTAACCTTTAGGGACGTGAAAAAGCAGCTATTGTCATCTGAGGTGTAGGCACAATATGATTCCAAGCAAGAGGTGGTGCTGACATGCGCTGCCTCCCCATACGGTATTGGGGTAGTGTTGACTCACCCCCGTCCAGTGGAGGGGAACACCCAATAGCGTATTGTTCCCATACTTTGGCTGATGCCGAAAGAAGATATGCCCAGATAGAGGTGGAAGGTTTGGTGGTCACCTTTGGTGTGAGAAAGTTCTACCAATACCTTTACAGACATAAATTTGTAATAGTAACATACCACAAGCCCCTGCTAGAACTACTCAGAGAGGATAAGGCTGTGCTGCTCATAGCTTCAGGTTGAATTCAGCGTTGGGCTCTCATCTTAAGTGCGTACAATTACAAGTTGGAACACTCTCCGGGGGGCCCATTAGCTAATGTGGATGCCTGAGCCACTTCCCACTGGCAGATACACCACTGATGGTATATCCCCTAGAAAAATCCGCTCTGGTGTTAAAATTTTTGGATACCCTTCCGGTCACTGCTGACAATCAGATTTTTGACACAGAAAGTTCTTGTCCTGGCAAAACTAAAACAGCTAGTGGTGATGTGGGAAACAACAGGGCCATTGCAACCAGGATTGAAATCTTAATGTATCTGGCAAGACCAGATCCCCGACAGTGATGGCATTTTATTATGAGGTGCAAGTGTGACTGTCCCAAGCAAAGGTCGCTGCCAGATACTGGATGAACTTCACTGGGGTCTTCCAGGGGTTTCCAAGAGGGGGATGGCCAAGATTGGATGTAGACATCCAGTTGGTGGAGCAGTGCCCAGATTGCCAACAAAAATCGTGCCAGCAGCTCTCCCACATTTCTGGGAATGGCCAGGCAAACCTTGGATTCAGTTACATGTCAAATATTTTGGTCCCTTCATGGGCTCAACATTCTTAGTTATTGTGGACACCCATTTAAAGTGGTTGGACGTGCATAGAGTTCATTCGTCAAGCACAGGGACAGCGACAGAAAAGCTGCAAGCATCTTTTGCAATATAGAGGTTCCCACAAGTATTGGCCACAGACAATGGGCCATCATTTATCAGTAGGGAATTCAAACATTTCCTAAAGTCAAATGGCATTCAGCACATAAGTACAGCTCCATACCATCCATCATCCAATGGTCTAGTGGAAAGAGAAATCCAAACGTTGAAGACAGGCTGAAAGAAGCAGCTTGCAGCATTACTCGATACCAGTCATGTGCCACAGGCATCTCAACAATCTACCATCTACAATGAGTCACATGAAGGGACTGAATATTTGAGCAGATTTGCTGATGGCACAAGAATAAGTCGGAAAGTATAGAGCAGCTATTTCGGTTCTGAAATGTACCGCAGGTTCAAATGAGCTATTCAGGAGGGTATTGGATGAAGATGTGGATAGTGATGGTGTTCAGGTATATAGGGAAAAGGCAGGAGATTGGCACTAGGTAATGTTGCCTGTTTAAAGAGTCGGTACAGGTATAATGGGCCGGATGGCCTCCTCCAGCACCACAGTAATTGTGTGATTCTGCAGTTTTCTATACAGAATCCAGATGCAAAGTATTGACCGTAAACCTCAGCTATTCTGGATCCACAAACAGATTGCAACTTTGGCCCCAAATGGATCCTATTGCTTCCCTGGTTATTTTCTTGTTCCTCATATCATTATAAACCACATTTGAATTTTCCTAATTTTAACCCAGCAGTGTTTTTTATCTTGCCTCTTCATTCTCCTAATTTATGTTTTTAACAATACCCTGCACTTTCTCTATTCCTCTCGGATATCTGCTGTTTTGAGCCCTTAATATTTGCCATAAGCTTTTTTTTTATCCTTATCCAATCCTGTGCATCATCAAGGGCTTTCTCACAGTTCGCTTTTATGAGAATATTGGCCCACACTCTCGCAATTCCCTTTTGTACTAGGTCCTGCACTTCCCCCTCTCTTGTCGAGCTTTCCAGGTGCTGCGTTGCAAAGCTCTCCTGGACATATATAGGTTCAGAATTCTGACCCCGCTAAGCCTTTCACACTTTGTCCATCCCAATTCACGGTGGGGACATTGAAATCCCTACAATTATTACCCTGTGATTTTACCACTTGAAATATTTAAAAAATTCATTTCTATGCATTGCTGGCTTGTCAGCATTTATTCCCCATTCCTTGTTGCCTTTGAGAAAGTGATGGGGAACTGCCTTCTTGAACTGCTGCAGTACATGTGCTGTGAGTTGATCCACAATGCCCTTAGAAAGGGAATTCCAGGATTTTAACCCAGTGTCAGTGAAGAAACGGTGATATATTTCCAAGGATTCAAGATGGCGTTGACGCCTGGCGATTCTTTACAAGCTCCCTGCAGCAGATCTTTTTCTATCATTTCTTATAACAGTTCTACACTTTTAAAACTAAATTATGTTGATCTTGCTTTGCGTACCTCCTGTGCAGTGTAACTTTGTATGCCTCACTTTAGTCTAAGCACCTCATGATCTGTATGTCCTTATTTGCTTGGGGAAGTGATAGCCTAGTGGTATTATCACTAGACAATAATTCTGGGGGCACTGGTTCAAATCCTACCATAGCAGATGGTGCAAATTGAATTCAATAATATATCTGGAAATAAGAATCTAATGATGAAATGAATCAATTGTTGTTTTAAATAAAAAAACCCACCTGGTTCACTAATGTCCTTCAGGAAAGGAAACTACCATCCTTACCTGGTCTGGCCTACATATGATTCCAGATCTACAGCAATGTGGTTGACTTGAAACCTCCCTCTGGGCAATAACGAGAAATGCCCTCATCCTGTGAATAAAGAAAAGAAAGTCTGCCTGTACTGCTCACAAAACAAAACTTTTCACTGTACCCAGGTTCTTGTGACTACAATAAATTAAATCAAAAATCAGGGTGAGAGTGGCTTGGAGGGGAACTTGCAGGTGGTTGTGTTCCTATGTAACTGCTGCCCTTCATCTTCTAGATGGAAATGGTCTTGGGTTTGGAACTTGCTGCTTAAGGATCTTTGGTGAATCTCCTCAGATCATTTTGTAGATAATACACACTGCTGCAACTGAGCATTGGTTGTGAAGAGTTTGTGGATGTGGTGCCATTCAAGCGGGCCGCTTTGCCCTGGATGGTATCAAGCTTCTTGAGTGTTGTTGGGGCTGCACTCATCCAGGCAAGTGGCGAGTATTCCATCACACTCCTGACTTGTATCTTGTAGATGGTGGACAGGCTTTGAGGAGTCAGGAGATGAGTTACTCACTGCAGTGTTCCCAGCTTCTGACCTGTTCTTGCAACCACCGTTTTTATGTGGTGAGTCCTGTTGAGCTTCTGGTTAATAATAATTCCCAGGATGTTGACAGTGGGGGATTCAGTGATGATAACACCATTGAATGTCAAGGGGTGGTGGTTAGATTGTCTCTTATTGGTGATAATCATAGCCTGGCATTCGTGTGCTGTGAATGTTACCTGCCACTTGTCAGCCCAAGCCTGGATATTGTGCAGATCTTGTTGCATTTGAACACGGACTGCTTCAGTATCTGAGGAGTTGTGAATGGTTTTGAACATTATGCAATCATCAGTGAACATCCCCACATCTGATCTTATGATGGAGGGAAGGTCATTGATGAAGTAGCTGAAGATGGTTAAGCCAAGGACACTACCCTGAGGAACATCGCAGAGATGTCCTGGAGCTGAGATGATTGACCTCCAACAGTCACGACCATCTTCCTGTGTGCCAGGTATAACTCCAATCAGCACAGACTTTGCCCCCTGATACCCATTGATTCCAGTTCTGCTTGGCCTCCTTGATGTCACACTCGGTTGAATGCAGCCTTGATGTCAAGGGCTGTCCCTCTCACCTCACCAGCAAAAGATCTGTCTCTATCTCTTCCTGATTTGGGGTGGCATGGTAGTTCAGTGGTTAGCACTGCTGCCTCACAGTACCAGGAACCCAAGTTCAGTTCCACCCTCGGGAGACTAACTGTGTGGAGTTTGCACATTCTCCCTGTGTCTGTGGGGGTTTCCTCCCACAGTCCAAAGATGTGCAGATTAGGTGGATTGGCCATGCAAAATTGCCTGTAGTATCCAGGGATGTGTAGGTTAGGTGGGTTAGCCATGGGAAATGCAGGGATAGGGTAGATGGGTGAGTCTGGGTGGGATCCTCTTCAGAGTCAGTGTGGACTTGTTGGTCTGAATGGCCTGTTCCCACACTGTAGGGATTCTATGATTGTGTGTAAATTTGGTCTCCTTGTTGAAGGAAGGATGTCAGTGCATTGGAGGAGATCCATGAGGTTGATACCTGGAATGAGTGTTTTGTTTGAACAGTTTGGGCTTGTTTCCAGAAGATTCTAGTTTTGGGCAAAGTTAACTTCACTGTCATGAGTCAGAAACTGTTGACAGGAATCCTGGGAAATCTCCAGAACACACAGCAACCATCAGGAAGCTACTGTGGACGGGACTGAGAGGTGCTTTGTTGAGCATTTCAGGTATTCGTCCAGATTTCCAGCATTTGCTGTAGTTTGGGATAACCTGTGAATAGCTAAAAGAACGAAAATTGAAAGGACAACACAGTGTGGGCCTGTAGGAATACAGCAGGCCAGGCAGCATCAGAGAACTAGGAAAGTTGACGTTTCGGGTCAGAACTCTTCTTCAGAAATGGGAAGCGGAAAGGGAGCTAGGAAGTAAATAGAGAAGCGGGGTGGGGCTGGGGAAGGTAGGCGGGATGGTGATAGGTGAGTGCAGGTCGGGAGTGGTGGGGATTGGTCAGTGAGGTGGGAGGAGCGGATAGGTGGGAGAGAAGATGGACAGGTTGTGTCAAGTCAAGGAAGCGGGGATGAGAGGGAGGCTTGTCATGGGATGAGGCCAGGGATGGGGAAATTTTAAAACTGGCTAATTCCATGTTTAGCCCATCGGGCGGTAGGCTCCCGAGGTGGAATATGAGGTAATGCTCCTCCAGTTTAAGGGTGGTGTCATTGTGACACTGGAAGAGGCCCAGGATAGGCATGTCACCCAGAGAGTGGGAGGGGGAGTTAAAATGATTGGCGACCAGAAGATGTTGTTGTTTGTCACGTACAGAGCGCAGATGCTCTACAAAGCGCTCTCCAAGTCTGCGCTTGGTCTCACTGATGTAGAGGAGGCCACAGCAGATACAGGAGACCAAGTTGATTGATGTACAGGTGAACCCCTGTCTGTATTGTGAGGTTTGTTTTGGGCCTTGAATGGAAGTGAGGGGGGAGGTGTAGGGGCAGGTGCTGGGGGAGCCAGGGTTAGTGGGGAGTGTGGAGCGGACGAGGAAGTTGGGGAGTGGGTCCTACGAAAGGCAGATATCACCATCCCACCTACCCTTCCCAGCCCCACCCCTCTTCTCTATTTATTTTCCAGCTCCCTTCCCCTCCCCATTTCTGAAGAAGGGTCCCGGCCTGAAACGGCAAGTTTCCTGCTTCTCTGATGCTGCCTGGCCTGCTGTGTTCCTCCAGCCCCACACTGTGTTGTCTCTGACTCCAGCATCTGCAGTTCTTGCTATCTTAAAATCAAAGGGAGCTGTTCAAATCAGATCTATCTAGAATGCCAAACCCCAACCCATTTACAACCACAGTGGTCTTAAAAAAATGAAAGCAGTAAAATAAAGTCCTTTCATTGAGGGTTTGTCAAGGAAGTGGGATTCATTTTGTGCATTTTTCTCCAGTGGTGACTGGGAAACCGTTGATTGAATTGAAACACTGCTCTCTGACCCCATGCACAGATTGGACAGAGTTTAACACAAACCCAGAATTCTCCATTCCACAATGAAACACTCACTCACCTATTCCGGTCGAGGTCTAGTGTTAAATCCTTTCCCTCTAGAATCACTGAGATCCTGATGTGGCTTGGATACCATGCCTGTGCAGGGAACAAAGAATTCCTCAAAATTAGACTGAGGTTCTCACTGACAGTCCCTACTCACAGTCATTCCTTCAAAATTGGCATCTTTAAACACTTGGCTATCTCCAACATGAGGACCTCTACCAAACTAGTAACTTCCATCTGGACTGACCACAGGTTCATGAGGTAGTGCAGAAGGAGGACATTCAGCCTGATAGGGCTGCCCATAGCTGAGCAGCACCAAATGGCCAACGACTGCTCATGGCTATTGCGGCAGAACATGGCTGACAGTACTTAGAGGGCTTGGGAAAATATTTGGTTAATGTAATCTTCACAAGTATGCAGCTGCAGTTATTTATGCATAAGACAAAGGTAACAACATGTCGCACTGCATTTAATGAATGAATCTCTCTTTAATCAATCTGTTACAATACTAATGGTAGGTTTTAGTTGAGATCCTTCAAATAATCATAACCAGAGGGTGCTGAGACATCGGTCGTTTGTATTCTGGGAGTCGACTTCGCAGTCGGCGTGGGTGTGAAAGATATCACGGGAGAACCTGTTGTTAAGGAATGGTTAGCCCCAAACATTGCGTCACTGCAGTGTTTCCATCCCTCCCTCCTCTTCTAACAAAAAAAATGGAGGGAACATCGTGGGAGGGAGATTGGCAGCAAGAGTTTCAAAGGAGTGTGAGCCTAAACAGATCCCGGAAACTGTTGTTGGTGAGTAACAGGTAAGATTTGAGAAGTTGTTATCAGAGCAGAGAGCACCAGCTGCTTTGAACTAGTATTAAAAGAATTTAACATTGTGAGGATTAATTAACTTAAAGGGATAAGACATGGCAGGAGAGCTCCAAGTTACAGTCTGGTCCTCTTGCTCAATGTGGGAAGCCAGGCACATTTCCAGTGGTGACTTGCATGTGTGCAAAAAGTGTCTCCAGCTGCAGCTCCCGGAAGCCTGAGTTTCAGAGTTGGAGCGGTGGCTGGGGACACTGTGGAGCATTCACGAGGCAGAGAATATCATGGATACACCACAGGCTCAAAATCCACAGGCAGGAAGGGAATGTGTAACCACCAGGCAGAACAGGAGGGCTAGGCAGAGAGTGCAGGAATCTCCTGTAGCTATTCCCCTAGAAAACAGGATGACCGTTTTGGATAATGTTGATATCAGGGGATAACAGCAGCCGCCAAATTCGTGGCACCATGGTTGACTCTGCTGCAGAGGGAGGGGAAAATAGGCATAGAACTGCTACAGTTATAGGGGATTCAATCGTAAGGGGAATAGACAGACGTTTCTGTGGCCACAAATGAAAGTCCAGGATGGTGTGTTTCCTCTCTGCTGCTGGGGTCCTGGATATCTCGGAGGGGGAGGGCGAATAGTTGTGGTACACACTGATACTAATGACATAGGTAAAAAATTGGATTAGGTCCTAAAAGCAGAATATAGAGAACTAGGAAGAAAGTTAAAATGTAGGACCTCAAAGGTAGTCTATCTCAGGATTACTGCAAATAGCAGGAGCTAGTCAGAGTAGAAACAGCAGGATAGACAGGGTGAACACATGGCTGAAAAGATGGTGTGAGGGGGAGGATTTCAGATTTGGGACCAGTTTCAGGGGAGGTGAGACCTGTACAAATTGGGTGGATTACGCCTGGGCAGGACGGGGACTGATGTCCTTGGTTGGTGTGGGGGAGGGGAGCGGCTGTGTGGTGATACTTGACAGAGTGGTTGGGGAGTTGGGGAGGGTTTAACTACTATAGCAGGGGGATGGGAACCAGATGAGTAGGGCAGTAGATGCAGTAATTGAAGGAGAGGTAGAAACCAAGACAAACAGTAACGGGGGAGGTGGTCTGAAAGGATGTGTTTCAAAGCAAGAAGTATACTAGGCAAGGGAGATGAACTTAGAGCTTTGGTCAATACTTGGAACTATGACATTACTGGAATTACAGAGACTTGGCTGAAAGAGGGACAGGACTGGCAGCTGAACGTCCCAGGACTGTAAAAGGGGTGAGGGAATTGCATTACTGGTGAAGGAGTATCTCACAGCTGTACTGAGGGAGGATACATCAGAGGACTCATGCAACGAGGCAATATAGGTAGATCTCAGGAATAGGAAATGCAAAATCACAATATTGGGGGTATACTACAGGCCTACCAACTGCCAGCGGGAGATAGAGGAGAGAATATGTAGACAGATTTTGGAAAGATGTAAAAACAGTAGGGTTGTTGTGGTGACTGTTGTATTGACTGGGACTCATATGTGCTCGGGGCTTGTATGGGGCAGAATTTGTAAGGACCATTCAGGAGGGTTTCTTGACACAATACATAAACGGTTTAAATAAAAACCAAAAGAACTGCAGATGCTGTAAATCAGGAACAAAAACAAAGTTGCTGGAAAAGCTCAGCAGGTCTGGCAGCATCTGTGAAGGAAAAAACAGAGTTAACGTTTTGGGTCCGATGACCCTTCCTCAGAACCCATGTAAACAGTTTAAGTCGGGAAGGGTTATACTGGACCTGGTTTTAGGAAATGAGCCTGGCCAGGTGAGTGAAGTTTCAGTGGAGGAGTATTTTGGGAGTAGTGACCATAACGCGGTGAGTTTTAAGAATCTCATGGATTAGGATAACAGCAGTCCTTGGGTGAAGGAGTTAAAATTGAGGAAGGCAATCTACAACAATATTAGGCATGAACTGGAGAATTTTGATTGGAGGGTAAATCCACATCGGACATGCGGGAGTATTTCAAATGCAGTTGATAAGATTTCAGGAGTGGCACGTTCCTGTGAGAATGAAGCATAAGTATGGGAAGTTATGGGAACCTTGGATGACCAGGGATGTCATAACTTTGGTCAAAAAGAGAAAGGAAGCATTCGTAAGGTCGAAGAGGATGGGAACTGATGAAGTCCTTTAAGTATATAAAGGAAGTAGGAAAGACTTAAACAAAGAATTAGCTGGGCTAAAAGGGATCATGAAAAGTCATTAGTATACAGGATTAAGGAGAATCCCAAGGCTTTTTATACATATATAAAAAGCAAGAGGGTAGCCTAGGAAAGCATTGGCCCACTCATGGACAAAGGAAGTAATCTATGTGGAGCCAGAAGAGATAGGTGAGGTCTTCAATGAATACTTTCTGTCAGTATTCACCAAAGAGAAGGAACTGATGGAGGATGATCTCAGGGAAGGGAGTGTTGAGTTTCTAAGCCAAGTGGCTAATAAAAAGGAAGAGATGTTGTGCATCTTAAAAATTATTAAGATAGATAAGTCACCGGGTCCTGATGGAATCTATCCCAGAATATTGAGAGAGGCAAGAGAGCAAATTGCTGGAGTATCGACAGACATCTTTGTATCCTCTTTGACCACACATGAGTTCCCAGAGGACCGGAAAGTACCAATGTTATCCCATTGTTTAAGAAGGGTGACAGGGATAATCCAGAAAATTACAGGCCTACAAGCCTCATGTTGGTGGTAGGGAAATTATTGGAAAAGATTCTCAGGGATAAGATCTGTACGCATTTGGAAGCAAATGGACTTATTAGTGATAGACAGCATGGTTTTGTGCAGGGGAGATCATGTCTCACTAACTTGATCATGCTTTTTGAGGAAGCGACAGAGATGACTGATGAGGGAAAAGTTGATGTTGTCTACATGGCCTTAGTAAAGCCTTTGACAAGATCCCTCATGGCAGACCGGTACAAAAGATTAAGTCACATAGTATCGAAGTAAGCTGGCAAAATGGATACAGAACTGACTTAGTCACAGATGACAGAGGGTAGAGGTGGAAGGATGCTTTTTGGAATGGAGGGTTGTGACTAGTGGTGTTCAGCGATCAGTGCTGGGAACTCTGCTGTTTGTGGTCTACATAAATGATTTGGAGGAAAACATAACGAGTCTAATTAGTAAGTTTGTGGATGATATGAAGATTGGCGGAGTTGCAGATAGTGAGGAGGATTATCAGAGAATACAGCAGGATATAGATCAGTTGGAGGCATGAGCAGAAAAATGGTAGATGAAGTTTAAATCGGACAAATGTGAGGTGATGCATTTTGGAAGGTCAAGTACAGGTGGTAATTATACAGTGAACGGCAGAACTGTTAGGAATATTGACATGCAGAGAGATGTGTGTGTGTAGGTCCACAGATCACTGAAGGTGGCAGTGCAGGTGGATAAGGTAGTTAAAAAGGCCTAAGGTATGCTTGCCTTCATTGGAAGGGGCATTCAGTATAAGAATAGAAAGGTTTTGCTGCAACTTTCTAGAACTTTAGTTGGGCCACACTTGGAATATTGTCTACAGTTCTGGTCACCAGACTACCAGAAGGATATGAATGCTTTGGAGAGGGTACAGAAAAGGTTTACCAGGATGTTGCCTGGTATAGGGGATTTTAGCTATGAAGAAAGGTTGGATAAACTGGGTTTGTTTTCACTGGAACGCAGGAGGTTGTGGGGCAACCTATGTTTAGATTATGAATGGCATGAGTAGAGTGAAAAGTATGAGGCTTTTTCCCAGAATGGAGGGATCAATTGCTAGGGGTCACAGGTTCAAGGTGCTGTGGGGGAAGTTTAAAAGAGATGTGTGAGGCACGTTTTTTACACAGAGGGTCGTGAGTGCCTGGAATGCGTTGCCAGAGGTGGTGGTGGAAGCAGACACAATAGCAGCATTCACCTTAAAATCTCTCACTTAAAACTATGCCCTCTAGTTTTGGACTTCCCCACTCCGGGGAAAACACCTTGACTATTCACCCTATCCATGCCCCTCAGGATTTTATAAACCTCTGTAAGGTCACCCCTCAGCCTCCAACGCTCCAGGGAAAATAGCCCCAGCCTATTCAACCTCTCCCTATGGATCCTGTAAGTGAAGACAGTTTTAGTATAGAAGGGCAAAATTTGTTGGCGCAGGTCTGGAGGGCTGAAGGGCCTGTTCCTGTGCTGTATTTTAGTTTGTTCTTATATAGATTCCGCAGTAATTATAGATTCACCTATATACAAAAAAAACCCACTAAAAACATTAGAGGAAAAGGTTCACATAA